ATCACATTTTTTAGTTGGAATTTTCACATCTTATCAAATTTTGAGTAGGAATTTTCACATCATATCACATTTTTAGTTGGAATTTTTAAATATTATCACATTTTAGTTGGAATTTTCACATCTTATCACATTTTTAGTTGGAATTTTCACATCTTATCACATTTTTAGTAGGAATTTTCACTTATATCACATTTTTAGTTGGAATTTTCACATCTTATCACAATTTTTTAGTTGGAATTTTCACATGTTATCAAATTTTTTGTTGGAATTTTCACTTCTTATCACAATTTTTTAGTTGGAATTTTCACATGTTATTACATTTTTATTTTGAATTTTCACATCTTATCAAATTTTTAGTAGGAATTTTCACATCTGATCCCATTTTTAGGTGGAATTTTCACATCATATCATATTTTTAGTTGGAATTATCTAAACCTAATGGGCGACACCTACTCGTAAGGCTCAATCTTCAAACTTGATGTAGTTCAATAAGTATCGGTATAGAAAGAAGAATGTTAGAACGATGAAGGTGTGGGTAGAATCTTATCGCCACTTACATGAACGACCAAAAATATGAGAACATATAAGCAAATAAAGGCCTTCGAATTTTATTGGACAAACTGAAGACAAAAGGCTTTCAAAGGTAGAGACAAACCTAATGATCACCAAACACTTTCGACAATATAAAAAAGAGGTTGTGTGACATTTTGCAAGAAGCGTTGATGAGTGACATTTTGCATCACCATACTTTCTGTGACATGTTGTGTAAGGGTTATAGGGTTTGATATTTTTCCGACCGAGCTTTATAGATGATCATATTATTATTAGTTGAGATTGCCTAGGCCTAATTATAGATTACTCGTGTAGGTAAATCTTTTTAGTATTTTAATTTTTAAGCTTAAAAAATTTATATTAAAATTCTTATAAATTATGAAAGTAAAATATTTAATCTTATTTATCTTACGTCATCAGTTTTACTGATGGAAGATACAGTACATGACAGCACATATAAGAATGACAAGAAAATAATAGACAAAAGGATAATTTTAATATTCTAATTATGTTCTAAGTAAAACATTTTAGTCGACTATTATAATGATGTCGGGTGTCTTGGGGGGCTGTTGTGATGGTGATCAACAAAAAGCAATGGTTGTTTTTTTTACCATCTGTTATCGTCACAACAGTCGACTAAGTTTTAATTAAGACATAACAAAAGAAAATATAATTGAGACATTGAAATTATCCTTTTGTCTATAGTTTTCATGTCATTCTTGTACGTGCTGTCACATATTATATTTTGTCGATGATATTAGGATAAACAAGATAAAATATTTTATTTTTATAATTATAAAAAATTTAATATTAATTTTTTAAGTATAAGGACCAAGATACTAAAAATGTCCTACTACAAAGGATAATATAATATATAATTAGGACAATTGCCTAAGTCTTGCAGTACCCAAGTGAAACCACCACTCATAGGTGTCTGCATATACTTGAACTTTATGTCGTTCGATGAGCATTTGTATGGACAAAAGAATGTTAGAATAATAAACGTGCGAGTAAAATGTTTGTCATCCCTAACACGAAAGAGTAAGCATCTTAGAAACATAAACAGAAGTAGTACAATTTTATTGGACAAGAAAGACTCATTAAACACTTAGCGAGTCTAATGATCATCTATCATTTACATCCAACAGAAGATGAGCTCACTAAGGATGTGTCATCCCAAAACCCTAAAGATGACAAAGGTTTCGCATCGCGATATAGAGAAACAAAGAATCGAGATTGTGTTGTGCTGAGTAGAAGACAGGAGGACGCATGCAGTGTAGCAGCTCAGCTGTCTCCTGCATGCCAACGTTCGCTTTGTGTGTGAGATACATCAAATATTGTTTGGTGATTTCCATAGAATTTTTCGTCCATAGTTGCAGGTGGTTGAACCAACTTAGAACCATACCTAATGGTGGTAATGTCTTCGATAGATAGATGTAGCAGAGACAAAGAACCACATATTTAATGGTGGTAATGTCTTCGATAGATAGATGTAGCAGAAACAAAGAACCACCACCTGATTTCTAGATAGAATTAAGGCCACTTTAGTTGATGAGAAAGTGACAATAGTTTCTTATAGATCGAGGCTTTTCCTAACAACTAAAAGTTTTTTTTTTGTAGATTAATTATATGATTAAGATATCATAGCATGTTAGGAGTTTTAATTAATGTTTGGGTAATATCATATCTCTAATTGACTTGCTCCGTGCACTTGGGTTTAGTTTTACTTATCGAGCAAGCGTAACATAGTTTACACTTAAGCTAAGATATCATAGTTCAATATAGAATATTTTTGAATTAATTATATATTACCTTCTGTATTTATATCTTATTAGTATCATAATTTTTGTACTTAAAAAAAATTTATATTGAGATCTCTATAATTCTCAAAATAAAATAAATAACATTATTTGTCCTAATGTAGTTAGTATGTATTGATGGAAAACACAATACGTGACACCACATGTTGGATCGGTACAAAAGTGAAAAGTAAAAGGATAATTTCAGTATCTCATCCGTTTCCAATGACTTTATTAGCAAAAAAGTAATTTTAATATCTCATGTACCAGAAATGAAAGTGATATTAAAATTATCTTTTTGCCTATCACTTTCATGTCGATTTTGCACATGATGTCCTGTGTTATACTTTTCGTTAATGCAGTTGATAATGTTAGGACAAATGAGATTATTTATTTTACTTTCAGAATTATAAGGATCCCAAAATAGATTTTTTAAGTATAAGGACCGCGATGCTAGCTAATAGGATGAGAGTAATATATAATTAGCTCAATATTTTCTAACCATTTAAGTTTTTGGTTTTGTTAGTTACCTAATTAAAATCTTGAAGAAAGAAAGAAGAGAAGCAATTCTTTAAGTGAAATACCAATAAACTTAAGAAAGACATGGGTGATAATTTGATACAGATTATTGTAAAGGAAATTTGGGTTGAATATATCAACATTATCTACTATTGAATTACTTTGAGAAGGATAAGGAGGTCTCATTTTGGCATTGATGTAGGCAGCCAAACTAAGCCTTTCTCTCTCTATCTCTCTCACACACATTCACATGCAAGTACACTCTCCTCTCTCTCCTCTCACACACTAACATCAAGTCATTTTCAATTTAGAAGTAGTTGGGATCCTAATTTTGAGAAGGATAAAAGTCTCTCTCACAAAACATTTCAATTTAGATTTTCAACTTTGTCAAGGGATAGACATTTCATCTCATCTCCATTTTCTCTCTCTCTCTCTCTCTCTCTCTCTCTCACACACACACACACACACACACACACGTCAAATCATTTTAATTAGTTTAAAGATTGGATTGTTAATTTTGAGAAAGATAGAGGTCACATCACACTTCCACAGTGAGGTAGGTAGACAATTAAACCTCTCACTAAGTTGGTGGTCCAAAAGCTCAGAGATCAATTAAGTTAGATGGCTTCAAACTCCACACATCACTTGCAAACCTGTAAATAAATGTATGAACTTTCTCATGTAGTATAGTTCTTGACGTGGAGAGAAGTCTACCCTATACACTGTTATCGCATAGGTAGTATTTGGATTGGGATTCCTAAAAAGATCATAAGATAGTCATTAATTTGATGAATTTGAATTATTATATAAGATATTTAAATTCGGATTAATGATAATAGATCAATAAACTTCTTACTTAATTTTTTTATCCTCGTCAAGCCATAAACAATAATACAAACTTATTAGAACTATAACTAGTCATATCCATAAATAGTTAAATTCTATTTAAAATTTTTACTATGTCTAATACTACGAGGCTAATTACATATTATCCTCTTTAATTAATTATCTTTAGTTTATCGATCCTTATATTTTTAAAAATTATATTGGAATCCTTATATTTAGGAAAGTGAAACATTTAATCTCATTTTTTTTCTCACACCATCCATAGATCAATGAAGTTAGTGGTTTACACACTAACACACTGTTATCACATAGATAATTTGGATTGAAATTCCTAAAAGATCATAAAGTAGTCATTAATTAATTTGATGACTTAGAATTATTATGTAAGATATTTAAACTTAGATTAATAATAATAGATCCATTTTAGTCTTGTAAATAAATTAATATCTCAGTAAACTTTTCGCTTAATCCTTTTATCCTCTCCGTATCGTTCCAATTTTATCATATGTCTCTAAAGAGACTAATCCTTTTGTCATCATCAAACGTAAACCATAACATAGACATATAGAAACAACCACTAGTCCTGTTCACAAATAATTGAATCCTATTTATAACTCTCACAGTATCTACTCTTCGAGGAGATAATAGGCTCGGTAAGATAATTTAATGAACTTAAATCTCTTATCCAAAATTGTTAAGCTAATACAAATCTTCTTTCACTTTTAATATTGGATTGAAGCGGCCATCATACGATCTTAGTGACTTATTAATTTGATGAATCTAAGTTACTATTCAAAATATTTAAATTTAAATTAATGCATAAAACCATTCGGAGTCTTATAAATAAACTCAAATCTCAATAAATATCTCACTCGAACCTTTCATTCTCATCAAAATATAATATATAACCAAAGCTATAAATCTACAAATAGCCAAATCCTAATCAAAATATAATATCTCACATGATCCAAAATTGTTATGACCAAATAGAGAAATTTCAAACCCACTCTTTCGGCGGATATGCTTCGACCACATCTTTATCATGGAATTGAATCTTTGATGGCTACATCTGTTGCCGGAAGCCCCTCTCCTCATCCATTTGCCACCCTATTAAGATATTCCCATGTAGTTCTCTTCCTCACCCACTTGTGGCTTTTGGTGGGCCACAAGAGGAGGGGATTGGTCAACTGCCATTGGGGCCCGCACGTACCTCCAATCCGAGTGCCCCCTCCTTTGCCTATTAAAGCCCGACTGCAATCGAAGCAAGCAAAGAGAAGAAGAATGAGTTGAGGAGTGGGTTTGGACCTACTCTTAGTTTCCCTGTTTCGGTGTCTTCGGGTACCAGATTCAGATGGCCGTGGAGGTTGAAGACGATGTCTTCTTTGCAGATCTGAGCAAGCAGATTGCCATGCTAATTATGGATGATGAGGAAGAATTCCCAGTGCAGTGTCCACCCCTTCCGGTTCAGGTTTTCCTCACCAGTCTTTGTGAACTGTTTCCTCAAATGGCCGCCATAGGGGAGGGGATAAGATGTCTGATGTTTCCTGATGTCTTGCCATGAATCAGACCTTCATATATATTCTGGCCTCCATGTTTGACACTGGTTCATATCATGTTCTCCACAGGGGCTTCCCTGCATGCCTCGAACCATGATGCTGCCATCATCATATGGCTACGAGGAGATGGCCATCGGAAGGGAGAGAAGAGGAACTGGAGTCTTCATTCCACTCTCCACTGCACCAAGAAGAAAGAAGAGGCCAAGGAGATCCACTTGGGTGGACAACCGCAACGACTTCCATGGGCAGAAGCTGGGCATGTCTGCGACCGTGGCTTCTCCCATCACCATCACCATCACCAAACCTCATCGACCCAAATCATTGCAGGAACTCGAGTGTGCTAAAGAGCCACAAATAGTAATATCTAATGATCTTAGCTCATACTAACTACAGAAATTGTCATGGTAAGTTTTGTACAGGAGAATAACACTCTTCCAACTGGCTATGTGTGTACCTGTGAAGAGGGCCTCAAATAAGCTTCCAACCTCCTCTGTCGAATGTATAATTCCTGTAATAGCTAGAAATGTATTGGTTGATGAATGCAAAGCATGAAAAATAATTATGTTACGAAGATGGTGTTGATGTGATAGAGGTCTAATCAAATAAAAAATGAAGCGCCAAGCCTTATCCATGAAGTTTAGCTTTTTAGAATTGCAATACTTGGACAATTGCAAAAAAAAATTATAAGCCGTACATCATATCATAATTATGTTTAGTGCTTTGGATATTATAAGTCGTACATCATTTTGACATTTTCTAGATCTTCTAATTATAATTTTATCCTGGGGATTATTATCGATAATTATAAAATGATGAGATGAAAACAATAAGTTTATAGCAAATGGAATCGAGATATCATTTTCGGTGTCAAATGAATCTCTTATTTTAAATCTATCCAATACTAGAGAAATAATTGATCTAAATGCATCTACATCTAGAGAGTATCTTATAAAAGAATATTTTCCACTTGATCAGTTGAGAAAAATCATCTCTATAAATAGTTATTATATTCAACTAATTCAAGTATGCTTTGTAATTATATTTCACTCTATCAAGCATTGCATCCACTTGAAGACATTAAATCAATAATGGATTTTTATCAACTGTTTGTGATATATATATATATATATATATATATATATATATATATATATATATATATATATATATATTCTTTAGTATCAACTATTGATAGTTTAAAATTTTTGAATAAGTTTAATGGGGCAGTAGCTGTTCATTCTTTTATTCCTTAAGTCTGAATATAGTAACACAGAGAATGCAAAAATTTAAACAAAACTAGACTTTTTCGAAAGTAATTTGGAAATCGAGAGACTAACTAATGAACCAATTTTGCGAAGCAATACAAATGTAACAGAACAGAGAATGTATTAAGCTTATCGATAAAGTAGTCAACCAAAGAGAGAGAGAAAGTTGTCCGAAAACAAAAGTAAAAAAAAAAGATAAAGTCAAGCTAAATATTTATCTCACATGACTAACACATCAAAAGATCAATTTATATATAGAGAGAGTATTCGTTGACAATTTAAATATTACAATAAAATCTAATTATTATATATTTCGACAACTAATGGGAAGAAAGTAAACCATTAACCAAGTAAAACAATCATAATATCAATTACGTAAGTTTTTGGATTATAATGATGTTGAATTAACCTATATAGTGTCAATAGTTGGGTCCGATCCCAATCTGAATAATGATATAATATCTTTTATTTTTATTATTTTACCACCTGATATAACGTTGGGTAATAGTCCAATAGTTTATCGAAACCAGTATCAGATCTAGATTTAAATTCTAAAACATTTTGGGCAAATCTATCAAGAGTATAACCGATATGATTACTTCAAAGCTCAATAAAAAATGAGAATTAAGAAAAATAATTTAAATTTGAAATCATATATGAGAAGTGAAGAGAAATAAATATTCATGAAATAAGAAGATGGAAGTACACTCAGAACAGCTTACATACTGGTTTCAGATGGATTTAACTGACCTGTCTAGGTTTCATGTAGTTCTTCGTACGGCACAACATAAGTATTCAATTTGACCTTTCCATGCTTCTTGTTGGCCTCATTGGTCCATTTTTCTTTGCTGCTCCTCGCACCTTTTTATCTTCCAGGAGAAGGCTTCTTCCTGCAAATTGTGCTCATTGTATAGTTTTAATGGGGAGGAGTAGCCTTCTCATAACATTGCCCGCCTAAAAGAAGGGTCACAATAGCAGCCTAAATTGCATAGAAATGAGAAGCATGGATGTGCTTGATTGCATTAGCATGGAAATAATTCCATAGAGCATAATAACATGGTAACAAACAATCACAAGGAACACTTGTGCAATCAGACAAAATATATATATATATCAAGGAAAAATGTGATCAGATATCAATCTTAATGGCAATAAGACATTGGATTTTCTGCATAATACAAGGACATATTTATGTGTATTGCATACTTACATGCATGCTCAACCTTTGGTTGACAACAGTAGAGAGGAAAACATGATGATGATCAGAAGACGGGGACATTTAGAAGATTGATAATATTAACCCATTGCGGACAACCTGGCGGAATCTTCCTGTTACACAAGTTTCTCAAGAATGTTAGGCAAAGCATGTAGCTGAAAACAACCTACAAAGAACGAATTGTAAAGACGAAGAATTACCTATTGAAATATGATAGACCAATGCAACTAACTGTGGGGCAGTTCATTGTCTGGTGACATTCCTACTAGCTTCAACCGCAAGAGAATGCTTTCAGCTAGAACCGATCTCAAAGATGTCAGATTTGCTCCTCTTACAGCTGGTTCACACAGATATTAATACCCTTCCCCCCATGGAAATATTAAAAAGGAAAAAGAAGATCCATGCCTATTTTTGATATTCTACGTATTGCTACATTGTATACATTTGACACTTCTGTTCCATATTTCCCTGATGAGTATAGTTTATGTACAATTCAAACAAAATAGCTAGAGGAATATCAGTGACATGACCAAAAATAAATATTACAGGAAAGCGAGGGCTTAAGCTACCACCGCCTCTGCACCTTTCTCAGGTTGAAAAGAGAACACTTGATCACTAACTGAACACACAAAAACCCACCCGCCAACTGACCCCTGAAACTTCTTATGGATGATCCTCTTGGGCAGAATGTTATGTTTTCCTCCGCTTCCGTCTTAGTGAAGACATAGCACTCAAGCCAAGGTTGCTTTGACCATCCTGAAAAGAAGTAATATTTTCAACCAGCAATGAACTATCTTGAAGAGGTTCTGATGTTTTCTTCATATCGTCAGGCACAGAATGGCCTGAAAATTTTTGAGGATCGTCAGAGATGTCAGAGGTTACCCTCGAGGGTCTTGAATTCTCAATTTGACTTGAAGTTGGTCGAGTTGCATCAACTTGTTCATCACTTTCGTCCATGCAAAACCCACCTCCACTGAAAAGATAGCCTCGAGATGTGTCATCCTCCAGAGCATGTTGTTTGCAGCCATCTCTATCTTCACGATCCATCTCTGCTGAACCCTGAATTGGACTGGCAGCCAGCTGGATCGCATCACCTTGTAGAACATTATCATCCAGACAGAATCCACCTCCTGAGAAAAGGTACTCTCCGGAAGAGCTATCCTTGGAAAATGTATGTGCTCCTTTGTCAACATCAGATAAATCTCCAACTCTACTCCTATTGTCATTCTCAATTGGTTCCTGCTCTGTCGCAACTCCTAGCAACTTGCTACCGCTCGGGTTCAGTGTTCCATTACTTTCATCAACTTCAAAATCTTCTTCTGCATATTGTACTTGCTTCAATGGCCTCATCGACTGGATAATTGTAAGTTCATGGAAACAAATTAGATATGTTACAAAAAGAAAAGTCAAAAGATGCTAATGACAAAAGTTATGTTAATATAAATGTATATGCATATATATAAACTAAAGAGCCAGGTTAAAAATATTGAGGTGTAATGACCATATCGTACCAGTTTGATCATACACCCATATAATGGTGTACCACCAACATCGACATGTTAAGCAATTTTAAATTATTTTATTCATGTAGTGAGGTTATGGTATAACCATACTGCAAGTTAAACCCTGCTTAAGAGTATTGAAGCAAGTTTAAAAACAACGATAAAACTACCATCAAACTAGCTGAGTGATGGCAGTCTTATTTCAGGATGTATTTAAAACAGAAAAACTCTGGAATTTAACAACAAAAAATAGGAAACACAACCAATAATCTAAAGAGATGAGTGCATCAGCATTGCAATATCATGGATACGACACGAGCAAACTTACTCTGTGCAACTTTGGCAGAACTTCAGGCACCTTGGAGTGATTTTCCAATTGAACATTGGCATTATAATCATCGCCATCATCAGTAGAATCAGAGTCTGCCTTTATTGGACTGCTTCTACCTCTGCCCTTTCCCTTTCCCCTTCCTCTTGCTCCTCTTCCTCTTCCCCTTCCCCTTCCCCTTCCCCTTCTCCCTTTAACTGTCCTATTCAGACTCAGAACACTAGTATCATCTATATCATCTTTTTCCAGTACATGTGAGTCTCCAGCCAGATCCTCTGAATAAATAAATTCTTTCTCAGTCTTCTGCCCTCTCGATTGTCTCATAACTTTCTTACCCCTTTTAGAGTTGCCACCAGTAGAGTTCTCAGGTTTATATTCCTCTCCTGTAGAGAGTCCTATGCATCGCTTTTTCCTAGAACTGGGCCCTTCTTTGACAAGTTCATCAGTCAAATCAGATGACAAAGTGCCTGTAATTCCTTTCAAAGCCTTCTTAATTCGTTGACTACGTACTTTTGCAAACCTCTCATTGAATGTATAAAAGGCCTCCAACCGCAGCTGCGTCTGTATCAAGAACAATAGAATGAAAGTGGGATTAAGAACTTCTGAGTTCAGCCCAACTTCTTAAGTAGATAAAATGGAACATATGGCAACAATCATTAGGGGGCATGCCTTAAATCAGAAACAACTAAATGAGAAAGGTAAATACAAATTATCTGTCAAATATCTGAGGATGATGTGATGAAACTAAGCAAATTTATCATAATCAAGTAGAAAAAAAACAAATAATATTTGCAACGACAACATTGCTTATGAGAAATGACAATTGTGAAAAGTAACTGAAAACAAAAAGGCAAAGAAAGAAGAAAGTTTTCAGCTAAGAAGCTAAGGCAGGCGAGCTGAAAAATTATAACTTGAATTAAATCATACACACCAAAACTAGAACAAAACAATAATTTAAAGGTGATTCAACTATAACTGTTCCACAAGATGAAGGTAAGTACTGAATATAAACCTCATGTTTGTTGTACTCCTTTAAGACAGGTACAAGTAATTCATCAGCTTTCTGGGTAGTCCATCCAAACTTTTCCCAACACAACCTACAGACATTTACAAAGGTGAGTGGGATAAATATAAAAAAAAATTTTTGAGGCAAAAGGAACAAATGCTTTAGTGTAAGTAGGATATAATCTAGTAGCCTTAATACTTATCTTACAATGTTGTTAAAATCACATATAATTGTTGATATTAGCTA